TGTTCCCAACCAGAATGCTGAAAAAACTATTTCCCTTAATTCCTTCATACTACAAATCTGTGCAGAATCAAGAACCTCAAGGTTGCACTAATCCCTAATGGGCCCAATAGTCAACTATCTCTGGAGGAAATCCTGGAGGCCCCCAGTAATGCCTCCACATATACTTTAACTCTCCCATTTTGAAGGAGAAATTATAATGCTAAAGCACAAAGTAAACCATCTTACATTAAACCACTGAGATTATCAGTGCTCCAAAACATCCAGCTATTAATGAGTGACAAAATCAGATGGACATATCAAAGATGAACCAATATTTCAGTAGCAAATATCATTCTCAGGACTTTAAATCTTAGAGGCAACATCCACTGACTGCTCTCTGACTCTCTTCCCTAAAGAGAAGAACTTAATCCACAAAGAGCTTCAGAGGTCTTCAGGGCAAGAAGAAAACAACTCCACTGCATTGGCACAGAAGAGATCAGGCAGATCAGAGCTGGTCTGTGCTAGTCTGACAAACCCCACAACCTGGGCTTCAGACTGTTTAATAGAAACTGAAGAGCCAGGTCAGCCAGTTTGGGGAAAGAAAAGGACAAAATTCAAACAACGCAAATAGCAGTGGGCCAGGATGGCAAGACTTGTGAAAATGTCTGCTCAGCTAAATTCAATCAGTGACTATATACTGAAAAAAAAAACCACTCCATTTGGGGAATTTAAAGAACAGACAACTTGGAAGGCCAAGATAGCAAAAGGTTCTAGGCTTGTAACTTGAAATTACTTGGCAATTCTTTCATGCTCAGTTAAATTAGAAGCTGCATGAAAGCACATGCTGACAAACTGCCTACTCCCTGCAAAAATATTATTCCAGCAGGACTGGCTATGCAGCAAAGTGAGATCCTTCCAAGATGCATTTTGTTAGGCACCATAGGATCAAACATACTGTACATATCAAAATATGAATTCATAAAAGATAGAGACTGATCCTGCCTAAGCAGGTTTAATGGGCAATGGATTTTAGATATTTTACCTGCATTCACCATTTCACTGCAGAAAATACTGCAGGATATCCTATAGAATGCCACTTCAATCCACCACTAAAAGGTTTGTGGATAAGATTAAACATTTGTGTTTGCAAATGAAGTCAAACAGTAAAATAGTCACTGCAAAAATCCAAATCCTACTGGACTTCACAATCTTGGGGTGTAATGAGAAGCTAGGACCTCAATCCTTTATCGATAAATGCTGAGCCATTAGCTGTATATGAACCAAACACTGTATGTCCCCCCAAACTGAAACCCACCTAGACATGATGTATGCACTACAAGTGTAATAGGAGGGGATAAATATTGCAGTCTTGAATCAAGCGGTTACATGGGGCATGACCTGGGGGGGTGGGGGGGGTAACACTGCATCCCTTACTGGAGACCAAGCTGTGTGGAATGCCTTGACCTCCTGAGCCAATGTCATCACATAACCACAATGCCAGAAGACAACATTGGCTGGCATCTTAGTGGTCAGAGGTTACACTATGGCTGAACCACAATATCTGGGACAAAACACATCAGTGCTTCAGTTTCTGTAACCAGCACTATTTACAGTCTCTCTCATTGGACACCAGAGTAATGCTATTCTGGAGCTTCAGTGCATGAATGATGCATGTGTCTTGGTTCTAGACTGTAGAACCTGTATCAGACTTCATTAGCAGACTGCAAATTAAGGAAAGTGCACTGGAGTCAAGAAGCTACAATTCTCTAGAGCTTTAAGAAGGGAAGATGGACTGGAGCTTTGGCTTCAAGCGGTAAGGGCATATTGGAGCTTTCAAACTTAGAAATAAAGATCCATCTGTACCTCACTCCAGAAATAATGCTGCATCAGGGCTTCATCATTGCATGGAAGCCTAAGTATTTGGAGTCAAAGGTACAACAAAGCCTTGCCTACACATTTGTCCTAGGAGGTGAGTGCATCAAAGCCTCTATGCTTAGAAACAAAAGTGTGTGGAAATGACAGGCCTTAGAAGATGATGCTGTGTTGAAGCCTCAGAGCCTACAGAGGGGACGCTTTGATATCTGTCCCAAGTATGAACCCAAAGGCCCTTATCTGTCAATGTCTCAGACTCAGGAGGCAGCATAACTGGATGTACAGAGGCTTGAGAGTTTCAATTCCCTGAAAGTTCTAGAAGACGAGTCACAATACATGACCAACTACTCTTTAAACAATAAAAACGAAGAGTCTGGTGGCACCTTAAAGACTAACAGATTTATTTGGGTATAAGCTTTCGTGGGTAAAAATTCCCACTCCTTCAGATGCCTGGAGTGAAAATTACAGATACACTCATAAATATATTGGCACATGAAGAGAAAGGAGTTACCTTACAAGTGGAGAAACAGTGTTGACAAGGCCAATTCAGTCAGGGTGGATGTGGTCCACTCCCAATAATTGATGAGGAGGTGTCAATACCAAGAGAGGGAAAATTGCTTTTGTAGTGAGCCAGCCACTCCCAGTCCCTATTCAAGCCCAAATTGATGGTGTTAAGTTTGCAAATGAATTGTAGTTCTGCAGTTTCTCTTTGAAGTCCAATATTACACCAATATTCCACATGAGGATGGACTACAAACTGTCAGGAACAGTATCCCTGATGAGGCCACAGCTCAGCTGGTGGCTGAGCTTTGTGACTTTGTCCTCACCGACAACTATTTCAGAATTGGCCTCATCATCCACTTGTAAGGTAATTCCCTTCTCTTCATGTGCCAATATATTTATGACTGTATCTGTAATTTTCACTCCATGCATTGAAGAAGTGGGGGTTTTTACCCACTAAAGCTTATGCCCAAATAAATCTGTTAGTCTTTAAGGTGACACCGGACTCCTCGTTTTTGTGGATACAGACTAACACGGCTATCCTTCTGATCTTTAAACAATAGTGAATCAAGATGATTCTGTGCTAGTGCTTCTCATAGGAGGTGTGGTACCAATGTCTTGAAGCTCCAATCAAAGCATTAAACTTTCATAAATATCTTTCAGTAAGTGACTCTTTACTGTTGTCTTAATACCTGGAGGGAAAGACTAACTGCTTTACACCTCTGAACAAGGTAAGGCTTCTGCCTGTTGCTCAGGTCCTGAGTAACACAATGAAGTAGTAATTGAGTATAACCTACTAGTCTCTGTTCAGGGATAGGCCAGAGAAGAGAATCAAAGTACCAAAGGGGGCAGTGGAACTGAAGAAGCTTCCAAGGGCTAGATTCACAAGGGAGTGTAGATGTTTTTGGAGCCTTGCCACCTAGTGGAATTCACAAGCCCTATTTAGGTGCCTAGAGTCCCTATACAATGCATAGGGAGCAGTACGTGCCTAAAAAAAACAAACAAAAACAAAACAAAACACACACACAAACCAGATTCAGAGAAGCTAGTTCATCTAAGCTAGCCAATAAGAAATGCCAAGAACAGTGTGTGGCCAGGGCCGGTGCTACCATTAAGGCAAACTAGGCGGTTACCTAGGGCACCAAGCTTTGGGGCGCCAAAAAGCGGTGCCCCCAATTTTTTTTTTTTTACAGCGTTCCTGGGCTGGGCTGCCGGCGTCTCAGACTCCCTCTCCCAGTGCAGCGGCCGCAATGCAATTACTGTCATTGCCGGTGGGAACGCCGGCGGCTGGGCAGAGCTCCGCTTAGCACACGTGGCACGAGCCCGGCAACGAGCGCGGCAGCAGGGCTTTGGGAGGAAACGGGCGGCTGCCTTCTGGCTCAGCCTCCAATGTCAGCCCCAGCGGGGAGCACGGAGAACAAAAGAGCCTCGGGCGGCAGTCCGGTGGAGGAAGAAAGAGGATCCCGACGCCCATGCATTGGGCAAGGTAAGCACTTCCCCACAGCTCGGCCTCGGGTGCCTGTGCTCCTGCTCCCCTTGGTCCATGGTTGGTCCGTGCTCCTGCTCCCCTGTGCGTGGGCGGCTGGAGAGGACGGCAGCCTGCAGAGCTGAGCTGCCCCAGTGCCCCCCTCTCCCTGCCCCAGCTTCTGTCATGCGCGGTATCTGGGTTTTAAGCCCTGCTGCTGTGTTATGCTTGCAACAGGCAGACCTAAGCCTGTGAGTGACCCCCATAGCAGCTGCCTGAAGAAGTGCTTGGGGGAATCACGCAGAAGGAGTGTGAATTTGTTTGAGTTCTCTCCTCATGGAGGCTGCACTTCACTTGGTGCAGGACTGCAGTCTCAGCAGGACTCTAGGTCTAGCACCTCGCCTCGGTTTGTAGACTTGTAGTGCACCCCTGTCACCGGGCTCAGTCTGGCACCGCTACCCCTCACCAGTGCCCAAGAAGCAGTCAAAAAAGTTGGATGGACTGGTTAGGTTAGGTTAGTTGTCATGCTGTTGCTTGGCCAGTGTAGAGACCACTGAATGCATAATATTCCTCTATGATGTTCTATCCTGAGCAAAATGGCATGTTATGAGGTAGTGCCTGTGAGGGACAGGTGTCTGTTTATGTCATCCAGACATCATGTCTTAGGTCTTCTGGGGAGGGGAGGGGGTCCATCCTGCTTTCATTGGATCAAAGTCAAAGATTATTCTCACAGGGAAGTTAGTAGGCATTTAGAGCAGATGAGCATACCACAGAGAGCACTTGGCAACCATTTGAGAGTGTGTGACCTATTTAGTTAGAAAATGGAACTTTTCATTCAAATTGGGTTTGTACCATTTGATGTTTTTAATCATTTGGAGGTACATGGCTGGTTGGACAGAATGGGTTCTGCAACACTCCCAGTCAGATTTTGATATGAAAGACTGAAGGAAGGAAGTATACGTGACTAAAAAGGGTATATTTCTGATTACAATCAACATCGCTTCATTTTAAGGGAAAGTCATCTTGATCTCTTAATCAATATTTACATCAAACAGTTGATGACATTCAAATAGTGACTTATAGTAAGTGACATGTATTCTCTATCCTTTACTTTTAATAGTGAAGAAAAAGAACTGATAGGAATAAAATTTCATTTTTTTTCGTTTTCAGTTGATGCAGCCTCATGGCAGATAAAAAAAAATTGTCTGGGGCACAATTTCGTAAACGGAAGGTTGATAAGCAAAAAGAAGAAAGCAAGCAAGAAGGTTCGTTTCTGAAATATCTCCATCCACTGGCCAGAGATGAAGGTAGTTCAATGCCAAAGGCTCAAGCAGAGATGGAGGTGGGGATGAGAGTTTCACAAGTTGAAGAAGAGTTTGAAGAACATAATCTGAATATTGAAGACGAATCCAATGAGACACGCGAGGATCAAAACTTGGAAGACCGTGAAAGCGAAAATGTCACTCGTTTGAATTTGAGCTTTAGTGATCCTGGTACTTGGGCCAAATGTGATGATGAAGTCCGACAAATTCTGGTGGAACATGGGCCGGAACAAGTTCAGCAGTTCGATTTTCCCAAAGATAGTAAGCAAAGAAAATTCTTGACAATTCATTACAAATGTAGACTTGTTAATAGAGAAGAAATGCACCGTCAGTGGCTGCAGTATTCCACATCAAGTGATTCTATCTTTTGCTTCTGCTGCAAGTTGTTTGGCAGTAGTACTATTGGCACATCATCTCTTTCTGAAAAAGTCTCAAGGGATTGGAAAAACATGTCTGCAATTCTTTCACGGCACGAGAAAAGGAGTGAACATTTGACGAATGTTCAAACATGGAAAGAACTTGAACTGCGATTGAAATACAAGAGAACAATTGATGAAGAACATTTGCGCTTGATTAAGCAAGAAGAAAAGTATTGGCAGCAAATACTAAAACGTCTGATTGCTTTGGTCAGAGTTCTTGGTGTGCAAAACCTGGCCTTTCGGGGAACACATGAAAAACTGCACACTTCTGGTAATGGGAACGTCTCAAATTTGTCGAATATCTAGCTTTGTTTGACCTGCTTATGGATGAGCATCTTCGCAGGATTAAGGACCAGGAGATGCATGTACATTACCTAGGTAAAGACATACAGAATGAGCTTATTCAGCTTCTATCCAATGCCATCAAACAAAAAATCCTAGCATCTGCTCGTGCTGCAAAATACTTTTCAATCATTCTAGATTGTACACCAGATGCAGGCCACATTGAACAAATGACCATGATCATTCGGTTTGTGGATAGGCCTACTTCAGAGACCGAGAATGAAACTGAATCAGTATGCATAAAGGAACACTTCTTGGGGTTTGTGTCGCTTATGGAGACAACTGGAGCTGGTATGACAGAAACTATTCTTCACCAGTTAGAAGAGATGTCACTGCCTATAGAAAACTTGTGTGGTCAAGGCTACAACAACGGGAGCAATATGAAAGGGAAAGAAAATGGTGTCCAGCGAAAAGTTTTCGATATTAATCCATGAGCCTTTTTCGTTCCTTGCAGTGCACATTCATTGAATTTGGTTGTTAATAATGCTGCAAAGTGTTGCTTGGACGCAATCGCCTTCTTTGATTTAGTTCAACGTGTGTATATGTATTTCTCAGCTTCTACACATCGCTGGGAAGTTCTAACACGCCACATAGCTAATCTCACAGTTAAACCACTGAGTGAAACAAAATGGGAAAGTCGAATCGATGCCTTGAAACCTCTTCGATATCAGCTTGGTGACATCTATGATGCTCTGATAGACATCTATGAAGACACTACTCTAACAGGATCATCTGGCAATACGTCACGAGTTGATGCAAAGGCTCTTACAAAAGTCATTTCTAGTTTCAGGTTTCTTGTTTCTCTTGTTTTGTGGTATGACATTGTTTGAGATCAACATGACTAGCAAACAACTTCAGGCAAAAGAATTCGACATATGTGATGCCATTTATCAACTTGGAGAAACCAAGAAGTTTCTTGTGGGCCGCAGAAGTGACGCAGCTTTTGAGAAAACATTGGTAGATGCAGGTGAACTTGCGGAGGGGTTGGATGTACCAGTACTTTTTGAACCAGATCCAATCTATATTAGAAAGAAGAGGAAGCAGTTCACATATGAAGCAGATGACGAACCTATTTATAATCCGAAAGAAAAATTCAAAGTGAACTTGTACTTTGCAGTCATTGGCACAGCAATACATTCGGTTGAAGACAGATTCACATTGATGCAGCAAATTAGTTCAGTATTTGGCTTCATATATGATGTTTACAGTTTGCAAAATAAAACACCAAAGCAAATTATGGAACATTGCTTGAATCTGGAGCAAGCTTTGCAACATGGTGAATCTGAAGATACTGATGCCTTTGACTTGTGCAGTGAATTGCAAGCTATTGCAAGACCAGTCCTCAGGAGTTCATCACCGCAAGATGTATTGAACTTCATATGGGAAAATAAGCTGACAGATAGTGTCCCTGTGATGGTCCACGCCCCCAAGGTTACAAGCGGCGTGGACTATCTGCCACTGTCTGTAAAATAGCCCTTCAGTCCAGGGCAGTGTGGCCTAGCGGCCAGAGTCTATGATGTCCGCTTTACCTCAAGGAGACATGGCCTGACGGCGGGAGTCTATAACACGGCCTTTGGCTACAGGGCAGTGGGGCCTACTGGCCGGAGTCCAAGAAGCAACCCTCGGGTGGAGGGTAGCATGGCCTAGCGGCCAGAGTCTTTATCATTGGGGTGCAACAGCCCCAGTAGGGGGGCCCTGACCCAGGGCCCTAACAGTAGCGTAGAGGTTTGCCACCAACTCAGCAGGGGGATCTGACCGAAACATGCTGAGTTTCCCCGGGGGCGGGGGGGAAGGTACCACTCTGTCACCCTCCCGGGGTCACTTCCTACCAGGCTCTCCATTGGGGTCTCCCAGGAGTCATTGGGTCCTTGGTACTCGGCAGATTCAGTCATCTCCTGGGTCTCCTTCAATCGCCAGGGTGCAGGCGAGCCATGGACGGCGTCTCTTCCCTGTGCAGTCAGCGGCTGTGGCTAGTCCACCGCAGGCACTCCCCCAGCAGGTCCTTCTCCTACAAGCTCCAGCCCAGAATGAGCTAGTCTCCCTCCCTTTATACTCCTGTAGCACTTGGAGCATGCCCAGTCTGCCCGGGGAGGCGGGACTTCTGCTGCCAGTCCCTGGGGCTTAACTCCTTCCGGGTTAAGGCAGGGTAGTCTGGCCCCGCCACAGTCCCTAACACAGTTATTGCTCTTCGCATCCTCTTGACTCTCCCAGTTTCTGTGGCCAGTGGTGAGCGAAGCTTCTCAAAGCTCAAGTTGATAAAAACATACATGCGAACATCAGTGTTGCAACAAAGACTTGTGGGGTTATCTATCTTGTCAATAGGAACATGACATTGCTCACAGCATTGACTTGGAGGAACTTGTTTCTAAATTTGCTAAACTTAAAGCACGGAAACATAAATTCTAAATTATAACATGTTACTCTGTGACAGTGCATTGTGTATAATGTATGTGATTTATTTTAAGGGGGGGGCGCAAGGTGGAAGTTTCGCCTAGGGTGCAAAATATCCTTGCGCTGGCCCTGTGTGTGGCCAAAGCCCTGCACCATAAACGGAGTTAGGCACTAACTTTGGACTAGAGGGAGGGGCCTAACTCTACTCCGGATTCATAGCCATGAACCCACACCTGAAATTAAGTGTCTAAACCAGGTCAGCCCTTTTCTCAAGGAAAAACAGAGTAAAAGAAGATGGAACTGCCCCTTAAGCCCAATAATTAGAACACTCTGTAGAGAGCCTGGATTCAAAGGCCCATCTTGCCTGATTCGGAGCAGGGATTTGAACCCAAGTCTCCCACCTCCCATATGAGGACCCCAACCAGTAGACTATACTCAGTCTCCTCTTGCTTGTTGAGTGATTGTAAGTATTTCATAATGTCAAAGTGGGACAGTTTCAACAGGAGGGATTCCCACCCCCAGAATACCCTCCTATAGCCCAGTATTTAAAGCCATGACATATCAGGTGGGACACCCAGGTTCAAGTCTCTGCTCTGAATCACACAGAGTGGTGATTTGAACTTGGGTCTCCTGTATCCTGGGTGAGTGCTCTAACCATTGGGCACTTGCCCCAGCTATGTTTTGTGAAGGTTAGGCAATGTCTGAGCAGCCCTAACAGATTGGGCCCAATAAGTGAACTTCAAGCTTGTGAATCCCCCTGGGGCTTAGGCATGAGTTAGGTGCTGAGCAGTGGCATCAGGACTTATACATCTGTGTGCATATCCACCAGCAGAAATTTAGGGGACTTCATGCACCTACAGGATAAGGTGGCCGCTAAGTGGTTGTTTGTTTTGTGAATACCAGCGATACCTAAAAGTTGGCCTTGGATGCCTGAAATGGCAGCTAGGTGTTAAAGACCCGTTTGTGAATCCAGCCCCAAGTGACTCAGTTATGCTGATGTCCTTGATAGAAAAAGAGGAAGAGAAACTAATAGCTATCAACTTATGAAAGCACAAATAAGAAAAATAACACATGGCACGATAGCACTTTGCTCTCTATTTACTTTTACCTTACTGAAAAGGAGGATAAAACTCCAGAAAATACCCAAATAATTTATTTTAACCAACAATAAACAACAGAAGGAGCAGTTATCACCGGGAGCTCTTCTGCCAGCAGCTTTTGAAAAGGAACTGACAGTTGAAACACTATAGGGCTGTGAGCTCAGAGAGCAGGGTGTATATACAATCTGTTATGTGGGTGAAGATGGGGGCACAAACTCAAAATCTTTAGTTTTGGGAGCTGTCAATGCATGTTCTTGAAGCTTAAGACCCAAAAGTGTGAATCTGTAACAACTTGCATTTTTGCTGAAGTTTGCAGTACTGTACTTGTTATGTGAGTAAACAGAGAACTTCTGTCTCAAGGGCTGTCAGTACAGCACTTTTCACAAGCACTAAAATTCACTAGAGCAGTTTAAAAAAAAGATTAAAACCCTATCCTAAGGGTAAGTGGATATGATAAAAGTGCTTAGATTGTTAAGGGATGTTGCAGGAACCTTGATAAATATTTAGGCAACTGGGAGGTTTTGCCTCTTTACTAAGGGGAAAGAGGATAATTTGTTAGCTGTGTCATTTCCTACTTTTGGTGGTGAAATTTACCCTTGCTGTTTTGTAACATAATTTTAGGAAGTACTGGATTCTGGTACAATGCCAGAAACAATGTTGTATTGATAATAAAACTTCAGTTTCTGGGTATCACATTTCAAGGGTAACTCAGTTAAGAAGAATATTGCATTTGGGTGGCAGAGCAGTAAAAGGCATGGGGAGGCCATGGTACATGTGGAGAAGGTATTTATTTACATATATGTTTCTCTAAACATGGTTCAGGGAGTTTAGTACACCAGAAATGTGTAGATAATATATTTTCTGATGTATTTAAATACATCACTTTAAATTATATCCTTCCAGTGAAAGATCTGTAAAGCCCACGTTATTTTGGTTACCATAAACCAGTACAGAAAGAGCATATATAAATTAATAACATACATCATCTGAATTTCATGACATGACAACAATTTCACTGTCATTTTTTCTGGAGTGGGAAATAAGGTATCAACTCACATACTACGTCACTACAAAAAGAGGATTACATATAGAGAGATTACTGCTATCCATATACCACAAACATATCTAACACAAGCAATTTATATTAGAATTAAAACTGCTATTGGGAGAGTAAATATTTGGATAGTATATGACTTCCAAATAGGTCACTTCTGAAACTATTGGTGCACAATAGGGAGAGGAAATCCGTGAAGTATGAGAGTTTAATTGTATTGCTGAGCTTGCAAAGGCTATTGCAACAATAGAGAGCAGTGTCAGCTCTTCTCTCTAAGGCTGCTGCAATAATCCACTACTGGGAACTGCTGTTCTGAGCATGGGATCCAGACATATGGTTGAATCTCATAAAGACAACAATCCATAAGGTCAACAGACATAAGGCTGAAAGGCCAAGAAGTCAACATGTTGAGAAGTTACTAAGCCAGAAAGCTGAAAGAAGAGCAAGTATCCTTTGTTTCTGAGTCTGGGCTTTTGAGAAGGGCCTAGAAACCTATTGCCTAGCAACAGGACATTAACTCGCTCTTCTCTAACCAACTGAATACTTCTCCTCCCGTCACCTTTCTGGTTAATTGACTTTGGGGGATTTCTGGACTCTTGGCTTCATGGGACTCAAGTACGTGATCAAAAAACATCTCAGCTCACAATTATTGAGGTTACTCTAATAAAATAAGGAAGAGTGTAATGTTAAATGATAATTTAAAAAGAGGCTTTTCATCCACTGTGTCATTTCTCAATATGTTTCTTTAAATTAGAGATGTGATAGGCTGCTAAACAATAACTTGAACTTAATTTACACATTTCTAATTAATACAGAATCCATCCACTGTCAGTAGGCATGTGGATAACTTCAAAATTTACTTGGCTTTTATTAACTGTTTGTTTTCCTGGCTTCATTTTGGAATGAATACCAATAGATATTCCATCACGTAACAACAAGAGAAGCACCTGGGAATATAATGCCATCACCTTACTCATCACCACAACTCCTTGTGATTCCACTATCCATAACCTTGACATCATTCTTGATCCTGAACTCTCCTCCTCCTTCCACTGCCATCTCCTGGGTCTGCAAATCTCCCTGTCACCTCTGCAGCTGTTCAATTACCTGGAGTCTTGCTCTGCTGAAATCCTCATCTCTACATTTCTTTCTTCTCCCCTTAACTCACATCTCTATCATCTTCCCATCTCCTTGCCCTCTATGTGCAGAATGTTGCCCCCCACCTTACTACTTAGACAAAGAAGTGGAAACATATCACCCCTATCCTGAGATTCAGCCACTTCATTCCACATTCATCTCAGGATCCAGTTCAAAACCGTCTCTTTTTTTAAAAAAATCTATATGGATTTACTGCAGCTTACCTTTTGGACTGTGTTCCTCCTTCTTTCCCTCCACCCTCCCACTACTTTTTTAGCTTCTTCCTCTTATATTATATTCCTACAATCTCCAAGCTGTTGGTGCCGGATATTTTTTCTTTGCATTTCCTGCCATCTGTATTTCCCTGACTTTTAAACTCCCCATCTCCTTTCAAATCTCATCTTAAGACTTATCTTTTCTCCCTTGCCTATGCTCCTACTTGCTCTCTTCTTCTACTATTGGCTTTGTGATGGAATGCTTTGATTTATTCACCATACAATGTCTTTATATCCTTGTTTCTGAAATATATATCATATTATGTTCACTATCTTGTATTACTTTGTTCTGTAAGAAACCCCTTCTTCATCCAAAGCCTAGGGGGTGGAGGGAAACAAAAGCATGTTAAACACAGGAAAACTGGGTGGAGTGGCTAAGCAGAAATAGCTATAAGTTGGCTATGCAGTATGCTCCTACTCATTACATTAGTCATTAGCAGCCCCTACATGCCACTCAGGCATCTCAAAAGGATATCTGGTCTGGCTGCTGGGAGCAAGGGTCAGGTAACAGCTGCT